TTAGATGGACCTGGGAACATCAGCAATCAAGAGGTGGCCCCATACTTCTCAAAACCTCCCGATCACTTAAACACAATTTTAAAGTTTCATTATGAAAGAGAGTTACAAGTGAAGACGGTAAAGTAGAATTACTGAAATTAATGACTTCAATATTATCAAAAATCAAGAGTGGTCTCCCCTTGTTTTCTGTTTGAGAGAGCTATTTCTGTATACTGGGACTATAAAAGGACACTATACGTGAACCTTTTATTCTCAGTTGAATAAGCTTTCTTAAAGCCAACACATTCGTACTTGTGTCATTAAATCCGGTATATCCAGAATACGCCGGCCATATGTAAGCGAAATATATATCACTTTACCCCTTGAAACGTAGCAGATGTGATAGGCGAAATAACTGAACATTTTTGCCGGCAGCCAGACCTTAAAAAAGCCATGTGTTTTCACGCTGATATGCCTTAAACTGTTATTTCATATCAATCATCTGTTAGGGTATTGTATGCTAGACACTATCTACATACCTGAAGTGAAAAATGATAGCGTGTGCTAAGATGCCAGAAAAGACTTTGAACACAATTCACACAGACAATCAAAGAAGCCGGGTTGATCTGAGATCTGATACGTGGAATTGTGAAGCAACTGAATTTTCTTTGCATGCCCAGGAACGAGAGTACTGATCAGATGTATATATAAATGAGATGTTGAGTGTTTCCCCGTGCGTGTATTGAAATAAGGACAAACACATACGTAGGGGAAAATACTGGTATATCTGAAGAGTTATTTACAGCAGAGAGATTAGTAGTCAAACGAACGCAGGTTAGTCAGTAACAATCAGAAAGAGTATAAAGTCCAACTGTATCTTCCGGTAGTGAGACGGAAATGTGATGGTCACCTGATCTCCCCAGAACTCTATAGAACTGTCCTATTAGTAGTAGAGAGATCAGTCCATTCTGATGAGAAGGTGGGTGGCACCAACAATAAACAACAAAGAGAGGAAGAAATAAACACGCTTTTAGGATGGAATGATAGCTGTTTGGTGTAAGACTTTAGGGGCGGAGAGTAAATTACGACGTCAAGGTTTGAATAAAATGCAATTAAGGTTTTCAAGTGGTCGTAAATTATTACCCCATTCCACTAGATTATAAACGAAAATACAATGTTCCATATTTACGACATATGCATCGATTGTTGACAGTTCTAGATATGTCGACAATTCGATAGCTAAATACTTAAACGTCCTAAAAATTCACACTAATTTATATTCGAATGTCGAGTTAAATCTTTGTCGTCTGTCTGTGAAAGGAGCTCACTTATTTGGACATTTTTTCTTCTGGTAATTTTAAATAAATTTGATGATACTGACTCTGACTCTAGGAAGAAAATGATGAAGTACCGACATTGACGTGTGAGCGAGACAGTCTGGAATTATTAATATATTTTTTTCCGCCACGTGTTTAAATAGCGGTGTCTGGTTTAGTGATTATTGAGAGAGTATTGTGCGGAACTGTCAAGTCGAATTAGGGTGAATTATAGCTGTTACCTTACCCATAATAACATAATGGACTACTCCATAAGTAATAAATACTGCGCCTCAAGAGGAAGCAGGGAGTCTCGTCTGAAGTCTAGAGTTCAGTCTGAAGTCTGGAGTGTGGTCCTTCAGAAGTCAGTCAAACAGAGCGACTCAGTCAGTCGAGTCACAGGCAGTCAGAAACACAGTCGCGTTCAGACAATTACTACTAAACCTGATTGTTCGTACTAACACTTTCTATTTCTCTGTATATATTCCTGTTTGTAATATATCTGTGTTATTCCATATACGTGTTCAAGTTCTTCTTTATTGGTTCTACCTTGGACTATCACCATGGTACAAGGAACCGGACCATAACAATAGTGCGTCGTTTATTTGGGTTTTGATTTAAGATTTACCGAACGTTAAACCGAGCTATGTTATTCACTGAAATGGTTAATTATCTTTGGTCGACTTTTACTTCTTTGTTCTCGGCAAGTATTTCTTTGCGGTTGTAATTAAATACTGTTTTTTTTGTTTTTTTTTGACATTGAAGACTTGAGTTATACTCATTAAATTCCACCGTATGTCACAAATCTGATATTAAACACATTTTATTTTAATTATGCCATGATTTTTCTCAAAATACGTGTGATTGGTTAGAGGAGGATGTCTGGTGTAAAAAAATTCAATCGAAACAAGGGGCGCCAAGATTTCTTTGCCTAACGCACAGACAAACCTCGATCTGCCATGTGTTGATAACACTTCATCATTTGAATTTTAATCTCAACAAAATCTGATAATTATGTTTCCAAAATTTCTATCATCTGTTTTCATTTTTAATTGGAGCAAGACTTAATAAAAACATTTAATTTATATTTAATACTTTTTTCGCCTCAGTCCATTCAACAAGAAACAAGATTCAGAATGCATCCTTCTTTTAATCCAACAAGAATTTAGTCTAAATATTTTATTCATGTTTACTATATGTTTGCT